AAGACCTTCCCGCCCGCCCGCTGTCTCTCCCATCAACTTAGTATTTTGTCTCACATCTCTCCTTGTCTTGCCAGGAACCCGCTGCCGCTACGTCAGAGCCTAACACACTCCTTCGAACACGCTCCCTCTCTAAACCTCCCTGCCCGCCCGCCGACACTCATCTCCTCATAACAAACCCGCCGGCTCCCCGCTCAACGTGCCACCTACCCAGAGCCCCTCTCCAGACGGCCCATTAATCTACCGATCTCGCGCTCCTACCGTTGGCGAGTTATTCCCGTCTCAAGAGATCGAGCGATGCGATAGAAGAGCGGTTTGCATATGAGTTCGAGACAATGAACTTGCTGAGTGCTCCTTTTCTGTTCGCTATATCTCTATCTTATGCCTTCGTGCTGACCTAGCCTCCAACATTCTCGCAAAGATTCAGTGATCGAGTGATAGCGTATTCGAGCGGGCGCAATGTTGCGAGATGAACGCAGAGGTGAGTGCTCCCACGTCTTCTTCACTAATATGATTTTTCTGTGTGCAGAAGACCCCGCCTAGGACAGGCTTTGCTTCCTCGTAAGTCCCTCCCTTCTTTCCCTTTTTTCCATACTATCTTTCTCTCGAGACACGTTTGCCTGTTCTGTAGTGTACACGCTGAAAAGCCGGTGGCCGTGAGACATTTTGCGTGAGTCTCTCAGGTTCGAACTGAATGCTTTTGGGTTGTCCTTCTGCGAGTTCGCCTGCGTCCTGATTTGTACGCGCGAGATTATGTAGTCTATAGTGTACCCTAGCCAGAATGTATGCTACTGTACATTGAGCACGCAGAAATAAAATGTTTATGGATCCCCTGTTATATCCGAGCCCTGAAGCGTGAATAAAATGAGGAATTAATCCATAGCACAGGAGGGTAGGGCTGGCAGCTATGTACGAGCATTTTACTGTAGTTTTTCGACCAAGTGTTCGTCACGCATCACGCAGAGGGCGTCGGCGAACAGTTTTGGTCCCGGGGTCACGCATACACACGGGTTCACGAACAGAAAATCGTGACGAATCTGCGCTGAAAATCACCCAAAATTCAATTTTTGGGAACTAATGCGAACAATTCCGCTTGTTCGTCACGCGTGGCCCGCCCGAACGAACCGTGGCCCAGCGGTGGTCACGGCTGACATAATTATCCCACGAACACTTGGTCGAAAAACTACAGTAGCTGAAATTAGGGCTAACCCCCGCTAATTAGACGGCCATTAGAGGGGGGGTAAACTTCTGAGTCCTAATTCAGATTAGGGCTAATCCTTGCAAATTAGGCCATTTTAGGAGCTCTCAGGAGGGGGGTGGTTTCCTGATGTGCCTCACATGCAAAAAGTCCACAATCAAACTCGACGGGAAGTTAAGCGAGGCCTTGGCCAGGACGTATGGTGATTTCGTCGAATCTTTTTCTAGACGGTGTTGAAGTGTCGTGGATGGAAGGATGTTGATCATGGATCGAGATTTTCCCTCGGTCTAGGCGTCAGTGGGGGAGGTACGAGTAGGCCGCAGACGATTCTTCCATGATGCGAGTGACCACTCACTCGATCCGACACAAGGGGAGCTGACAAATATAATGAATAACCGGGACCTGGTTAGTTAGTTAGGCCCTCGGGCCTCTGAAAAATTTTTTGGACCCCACCCAGAAAATCACGAAAAATAGCCAAAATAATATGTTGGGCTGGGAGTGATGTAGGTATCATGTGCTGATGCTAGTTGGATTATTATAGAACCATTTTGTGGGTAAAATGTCAATGTCTGGGTCAAAACTAGAGTGAAATAATTAAGAGTTCAACCGCTGGACAGTCTTACGCAAAGCTCAGACTGGTAAATTGAGCGTAACTCAGCAGCCATGCATCACGGAAATATAGAAGCATAAGGCTTGGGCTCAGAGGCTAGGGCAGGGGAAGATTGACGTCAACGGCGAACATAACCTAGCCTAATTCAAGTGCAGATTGAATGATAGACTGATTATAAATCACTTATACCTCATTCCCCAAAAGAAATAAAGAGCGAAGATTCTTCTGATTGGCTCAGAAATATTATTTAAATCATTTAAATATTAATTACAGTTAGTTAGTTCACCCCTCGCCTCCCTTAAAAAAAAATCGACTCCCGGTGTTTCATTCAGGATCTCAGCTCCCCTTGATCCGACAAGTACTTTCTCGCACCATCTACGGTGACGGCGTCGTTTTCTGGAGCTGCTAAGTTCGAACCACGTCACGAAGGGAGTCGCAGCCGGGATTGAGCCGGGAAGTATAGTTGAATGTAGATAATACGGAGGTATTATGAGAGAGGCAAAGGCAATGACAGAAAGCAAAGAAGATGAAGGCAGTTGTGGGAGTGAAGGATGAAGCGCACGATGACGCACGATGGCAATTTCGAGAGCTACGCGGTGGAAGAGTTTGCTGCCAAGATGCAGACTATGAAGAGGCTGGGATTGAGTATACCAAAATATGTGTCGGGGGACGTTGGCTGGGTTGGGTGCTGGGAGGTTCAAGGATATTAACGCTGAAGGCATCCATGCACAGGTCGTGGGGGCCGATACTCGAAGAGCCTTTGCTGGTCCAGGACTTGGAGAAAGGGCTGATGCGCGAAGATTTTGTTGCGCTTACTCGTATGCACTAAGTATGTAGTGTATTTTGCACCTGAGATCTTTGTCGATTTTCGGGGTACATAGAAAGTGAAGCACTGGCAACTGTCGTCCGAATTTGTACTCAGCCTGAGGCTGAACGGAACCTCGTGTTCGAAGATCCCGATTTCCGGAACTTGCCGCCAGTCCCCTCGACCATCGTGACTTGAAGTCATTTCAAGTTCGCAATCCTTCCGAGTCTCTGTCCTCATTCTTGTGCCGGCAGTTTCATCCCCTCAGAAATGTATGCGCAAAATTCTGCTTAGTACTTTGGCTTTCAGCGGGTTGATTAATATACTTCCTTACGCACCTCGGTCTATACTTAACTCTGGGTACACAAATAGAGAGGTTGCGCTATGGGGAAATTCACTATTCGGTTTGGCTCGCGACCACCCCACTTTGGCGGGCGCTCCAATGGTGAATTTCATCATGGCGCAACCTCTCTAATATGGTATCTTCACTGCCACTTTTCTTGGTAGTATGGGCGTTAGTATTGTCCAGGGATTCCCATGCGTGCGAACTCCGCGCAATTGCCGGTTCGAATCAAGCAGGGGAGCGGTCGCATACGAACAGTAGCACTGCTTTCCCAGTAAACCCTACCTTGTTCTTGCCCTCGATGTCCGTCGTCGCTTTCACGTTTGGCTCGTTTGGCGACATCCTTTCTATTCTTCAAATCACAAATAATGTTCGAAAACTGCTTGGAGAGAGCGCGGGGGCTTCAGCGGAGTATCAGCAACTGATATCTGAGTTGGATACCTCGAGAGTCGCTCTTTCCCTAGTGCTCGGCGTTTCCCAGCTCAAGGACACATCACCTATTTCGCAAGAAGCCCGCCTTGCTATTCAACAATGTGTCCATAACTCGAGGAACATCATCGCTGAACTGGATTCCAAGATCTTCAAGTTTCGGGACAGCTTGAAGAAGGGAGGGACGAGAAGGATGGTGATCGACTCTTGGAGGAAGATTGGCTGGGGAATTTTCAAGGTTGACTATCTTGTCGAGGCGCGAAGGAGACTCTCCGAGCAGAGCAGGATGATCAAGTTGTTGCTGGAGGTTTCAAACACGTACGTCAATGCTTTTAGTGACCTTGTGTTCCTCGGTAACTTATACTCAATCTACCCATATAGCATCACTGTCACTCACATCAATGATGTTGTCCAATTTTCACATATCACAATCCTTGAGATAAGCCGCTGTGTGCAGGGTATACCTCAGGTCCTTGGTTATTCATGGGAGGGTGGATTGAACCCTGCGAATAAACCTATCATTTTTCTCGACATGCTTGGGCAGAACATCCGCCTGACTATTGATCTATGTGGATCATCGAAGGTAGGCGACTTCAACCCATAGAACCACTCGCTAACAGGCTGACCGTGACCACAGGAATTTGACGATTTCCTGAGATTCTACTTCAGGAATCGAGTCGGCCGACATTTTGTCGAGCGCAGGTCCTACGATATATATTCTTCCGAGAACGTAGAAATATTACCTGAGGAATGGACAATCAAGCCCGGCTCCTCCATCTCCATGAACGCCCGGATTCAACGTCCCTCCAGCCGTGTAATGAATGGCAATACCACGATATGCCCTTCCTGTGATTTCGAAAATGCGAGGAGCGCCGAGACCGGAATCACCTGGTAGGTATAAGACTTGACTTTGCAATGGTCTGTGCACGGCTCATGGTTGCGACAAACGATTATGAATATCAGTTCACACTGCCAAATTTGGTTTATGACATCAAGTAGCACCATCGAAGAAGTGAAAGAACCCAGTCAGCCGATGGACCATCGCGATGGAGGTGATTTTGATAGCCGTCCAGCCAAGTTCAACGGAAGCTCGGCCAGCCGCAGAGCCTCCGACTCAGCAGTTCGGAACAGACCAAAATCATCGTCCATGCGAAAGGCTCCATCTTCACAACATCGGGAAGATGACGAATCCCACTTGCGCTTTCTTCGTCGTATCCGTGTCTTGTCTACAGCCTCTCGACAGAGGGCAGACCAGTGGGTGGAGGCGAATCCGCATGTGCTCCGTGAGGAGCATCCTTCCCCGCTGGCGAGCCAGGTGAACCTCCCATCGATGTACAAGGACCAACATCAGAGGACTGAGGCGGAGCAGCTGCAGGTGACGCATATGGAGACGAGGAAGCGGGTGCTGGGCGAGGAGCATCCCGACACGCTGAAAAGCATGGTGGACCTTGCATTTACATATGGATGCCAGGGCCGGTGGGCAGAGGCGGAGAAGTTGCAGGTGGCAGTGATGGAGACGAGAAAGCAGGTGCTGGGCGAGGAGCATTCCGACACGCTGAATAGCATGGGCAACCTTGCGTTTGCATATGGGGACCAGGGTCGGTGGAAAGAGGCGGAGAAGTTGGAGGTGGTGGTGACGGAGAAGAGCAAACGAGTGCTCGGCGAGGAGCATCCCCACACGCTGACGAGCATGGGCAACCTCGCGTTTACATATGGGGAGCAGGGCCGGTGGAAAGAGGCGGAGGAGCTGGAGGTGGTGGTGACGGAGACGGAGAAACGGGTGCTCGGCGAGGAGCATCCCGACACGCTGGCGAGCATGGGGAACCTCGCGTCGACATACATGAGCCAGGGCCGGTGGACAGAGGCGGAGAAGCTGAACGTGACGGTGATGGAGACGAGGAAGCGGGTGCTCGGCGAGGAGCATCCCGCCACGCTGACGATCATGGGGAACCTCGCGTCGACATACATGAGCCAGGGCCGGTGGACAGAGGCGGAGAAGCTGAACGTGACGGTGATGGAGACGAGGAAGCGGGTGCTCGGCGAGGAGCATCCCGCCACGCTGACGATCATGGAAATGAGTGCTCGGCGAGGAGCATCCCCACACGCTGACGAGCATGGGCAACCTCGCGTCTACATACTGGAACCAGGGCCGGTGGAAAGAGGCGCAGGAGCTGCATGTGACACTGCTAGAGACGGAGAAGCGGGTGCTCGGCGAGGAGCATCCCGACACGCTGACGAGCATGGGGAACCTCACGTTGATATACTGGAATCAGGGCCGGTGGGCAGAGGCGGAGAAGCTGGAGGTGATGGAGATGGAGACGAGGAAGCGGGTGCTTGGCGAGGAGCATCCCGACACGCTGACGAGCATGGGGAACCTCGCGTCGACATACTGGAATCAGGGCCGGTGGGCAGAGGCGGAGAAGCTGGAGGTGATGGTGATGGAGACGACGAAGCGGGTGCTCGGTGAGAAGCATCCCTTCACGCTGGCGAGCATGGGGAACCTCGCGTCGACATACTCAAACCAGGGCCGGTGGACAGAGGCGGAGAAGCTGCAGGTGACGATGATAAAGGCGATGACGCGGGTGTTAGGTGCGACGCATCCCAACACGTTGCTGAGTGTATCGAACCTTGCAAGTATTTATAGGAAGCAGGGTCGATTGGAAGAGCAGAAGTTGAGTGGCTCAGTGCAGGAGACAGAGGTACTCAGAGAGGAGCATGGCGAAGGACTCAGTAGAGAGTTCGTCAGAGAGTGACAGTGAGCTGGTCGATTGTTCTTCGTCACCAGCACGTACCGCGGGATCGATCGATGGACACATTTTCTACAGACGGTTATGTTACGTTTCTTCTCAATACATACAGCTTCATATGTAGACTGCACAACACATACATCAATATTAGGCGACTTGACAGTTGGGCTAACGCAGAGGCAGAGGACACACAAAACTGCCCCTCTTCGAAGTCTAGTCTCCATCCTTCAAGATCCCTCTCTTTCCGTACCTCCATTCACCGCTCACAGCCTCCTAAAACCATGCAAAATTACTCAAACTAACCTCGCATCCACCTTTCTCATAAATCGCTCCTTCCTCGCCCATATCTCCTTCAAATTACTGTACCCACTCAGACCCATCGTGATCTCCGTGTCCGCCAGAAGTCCTCTCAACACTTCTTCCACGCCTTGTTCGCTGTCGATCGCGAGACCGTACATGAACGGGCGGGCCACTATTGCGTGTTCGGGTGGCGGGGAGCAACGTCGATGGAAGACGACGGGCGCCACATAAACCAAAATTACGAAGATACGTCCACGGAGATCAAAAGAGCCGCGTTTATCAACCGAATGCGGGTTCACTGAGCAATGACGCACGGCGAGAGAAGAGATGGAGGAAACGAGTCAGAACGTGGAATTGATTCGAAGGGGTAAAAAACGTGCATAAAACTCCTTGCGCCCCCATCGCTATCGCCTTCAACACGTCCGAACCCGTCCGGATCCCACTATCGAACAACACGGTGAACTTTCCACTTTCCTGCGCGTCGCGAACCTCTTTGTTCGCCGTGATCTCTTCGAGGGCGAGGAAGGAGGGGATAGCGCCGTCGACTTGTCTTCCGCCTGTGAGGTTGAAAGTCGAAAGCCAAAAGGCGAGATTTGAACGCCCATGCCACACGCGTCGCGACGTTGGAGAAAAGTAAGATAAAATAAAAGTAGATGTCAATAAACCCCCTATGAATCAACCCAGAACCTCGTGACACAACAACACCCAAATTGTAAAGAAAACCGAAGCCGAGACAAATTTAAGAGAAAAATTAAACGCACCATGATTGCTAACGACAATCCCATCCATCCCATTCTCCATCGCCAACAACGCGTCCTCCACGCTCTGTATCCCCTTCAACACGATCGGGCCCTCCCAATTATCGCGGAGGAACTTGAGCATCCCCCACGTCTTGAACATACCCGAGTTCGTCTCCGCGAGCCAGGCCATGCCGAGCTTGGTGCCTTCGATCGCGGCGGGGTCGCCTGTGTGGTACGTGTCAGTATATGGTTTGAGGAGGCAGTGGGTCGTGTGGTGTGCGATGGGTCGGATGGAATACGAAAAAACTCACCTTCTGCCCGTTTCTTGTCCATCGCTTCCGGTTCGAACGGGAACGCGTAAGGCGCACTCTCCCCCGTCCTCGCCTCCAGCCCCATCTTCTTCATGAACACAGGGTCCGACGTCCCGACCTATAGGTATGGCCAACAGGATTCATCACCTCAGTCCTTTCACCCAGATGGCGCGCAGGACAAGGCGCTGGTGAACTGGTGAACCAGTAACGCGAACCTGAATGCCGACCCCAGGCGCGAACGGCGAGGTCACGCGGACATCAGCCCAGCAGCATCCTATCGAGCGTGACCACGAGCGTCGTGAATCCCGCTTTCTTGACGCAGGAGAGTAGCGTGAGAGTTATTTCGTCGGTCTGAGGCCTGGTTGAATATAGTCATGGCAAAAATCAGAATTAAAACTCGAATTCTTGGGGTGGGGAAGGCGCGGAAGAGGGAAAGGGAAAAGGAAGATGTTTTCAGTGATAGAGACGATGGGAGGTGTGACGCACCTGTAAAGCTGATATCACCTCGCCCCGTCCACTCCATTTGCCTCCGCGACCTCCTCCGGCGGCCTTGTGCTCGCAGTGCTCATGATGAACGGCACGCCGACCTACATATTCATGTTCATGTTCACGGTCGTACGCAGGCCACAGCGGTCAATTCATTTCAATGAATCCGGTCGTCGTCCAAAAAGTTCCGTTTGGGTCCAAAGATTGCAGCTATCGTCCAAAGAGTTGCAGTCGTTGTTCACAGAAATCAGTCATCGTTCAACGAGTCCAACCATCGTCTATGAAATCAAGACACCATTTGTCGAGACCAAAAGCGAGTTCAAATAGAGGAACTGGGAGAAATAAAAGCCGACCTTCGCAGTCGCGCGCGCAGTGGCCAATTCACCGTCTTTATAGAGGATGCCTTGGACGCCCACGGGCGCGATGAGGACCGGCGATTTGTAGGTCTTGTCGAAGAGGGTGGTCTATATACATCGGGTATCGAAGTGTAAGGATTGAAGGAGTGAGCGAACGAATGGAATGGCAGGAGGAGCGGTGGGAGATCAATCGGGAGACAATCGCACCTCAAGACTCCGAGTCGACGCGTCCCTCAACATCCTCGGAATAATCTTCCACTGCTGCAACGCCTTCAAATTCGCTTTATTCGTCGAGCTTGACCCCGTGCTGCCGAACGTGTACATGTACGCCGCTACTCATCAATCCCAACATGCCACAGCAAACACACGCAATGATCAGCACACAACTTTGAGAGCTGAGTAGAAGAGGGAAAATCTCACCATGACCCCTCCGTAGCCTCCCTCGCCCTCTCCTCCAACTTCCCCACAGTATAACTCTCAATTGAAGGCGGTTTCCTCCCCGCGTATGCGTTCCTCATATACGCGCTCCACTCGGTCTGCAGTTTCTCGTTCCCGTCGGCCCATGCTGTGGCTGTGGAGGGGACATGCTCGTCGTGCAGGCGTACATGTAGAAACATTACAATGTGAGCGAAGAGCTCCGTTCACTGACATTGTAATGTGAGCCCGAACTCCTAGCTGCTTCTTGTGCACTGTTTTCATGGAGTCACATTATAATGTGGCTTCCATGCTTCTATTGCATACCGTCCACTTTTAGATCACTGCTTTATTAATTATTGATACGACCTTGATTCCCTTGCCCTATTTTAGGGTCTTACCCTCATTGGGATGTGGCACTGGCTACTGCTAGAATTCTCCCTGCCCCCTGCCCCTGCCCCTGCCCTGCTTCCTTCCTGTTATACTTCACTCTGAACATACTACTTGATCCTAATGAGCTATATAAGCCTACATAGAACACCATTTGAATGTATTACTCCACAAAAGCCCTACCTACATTTCGAAAATTTGGGTCTTTTGTGTGGCACAAATGTGGCCCAAATCTTGTACCATGCTCCTGCTCTTGCTCATGCTCTTGTACTTAAATACTTTGTATTATGTCTGTTCTAGTATACTAATATGACATAGGTATGTGTTTATAACTATTGCTATATAGACTGCCCCTCAGAAGCTCTGAACAAATTTCGCTTTTGTGTGGCCCAGGTGTGGCCCAGACCTTTTCTACTCCTGAACATTTTGTACATCAATAAATATCATCATATATACTTCTAGTATTCTAAATTAGTCTTTATTGCATCCTTGAAGACCTGTATTGGTTCTGTTCTTGTAAAGAAATGGCCAAAAAAGCGTTTTTTGGGGGTGTGGCACCAGTAGCACTTCAGTTTCTCCCCTTAAAATATATCATATCCCAGGTATACAGATGTTATAATTGAAGTATGTAAAACATAGCTATAGGAAGACAAGACCAGGGCAGATATAGAACAGTATCAGAGCAGGGATATCTACATTTAAGGGGTATACTGATGTGGCCCAAATGCTGCCCTATCCTAAAAACAAGGTTTGAGGTAGATAATAATATGGTTTTGAGCATGTTCATGATACTAGTATATACAGTTTGTATATAAGTATCTATGATAATAAAAAATGAGAGAGAATCCAAAGAGAATGAAGCTGCACAACACCCAGTACTCTTGTGCCACAGCTACTTCCAGCCACTGATTGCGAGAAAATCGCGGAAAATGCCGAAAACACCTTCCTTTTTTGGTAGTTTGAGCGTCCTGGATGCCACAGCTGGGCCACAATCGCCCTGATGTTGAGTCAATTTAAATACATTGAGCAGCAATAAAATATCTGAAAAACTGTAAATATAATTAGAACATCAGCCCCAGAAAGTGTACAAAAGTTTTGAGGTAAGAGGAATACTCAGAAGGTTTGAACTGTGAAGTGCACTGTAAACCTGAGTTTGAAAGTGTTTAGTGGCTTGAACTCGTCTGCACTTCTTCGGCTTCTCCTTCTTCTCAGCCACCATGTCCTCACCTTCACTCCTTTTCCCTTTGAGAGTACTGAGAGCCGGTCTAATAGCACCTCGCCTTGGGCTTGTGACTGTGCACTCCAGGAAATTAGGGAATTGGGGCTCTCAAGGTCCTGGACTGGCTATTGAGGTGTAGCTGTGGTCTTCAGCCCAGCATCCTTGATTCTCCTTCCCTCCCCTCCTCTCTCTTTCTCTCTCAACACTTCAATATCATCCTCAAGCATCTAATTCAAGTATATTTCAAGTTTCTGAGCTCTTTAGAGCCTCAGAATTGGCTAGAATGTTCAGGTAAGCTTGTGTGCCTGAAAACCAACATGACTACCTCCTCCCTCTCCTCCACCTCTCCCCCTCTCTCTACCATCCCAATTCATATCTAACATCTCATTCCTATCCATATACTTCATTTCTAGAAAGTTTGGTTCAATTTGGACCATGGGTTGGCCCTGGGCAGCAAAATGGCATGTGGCCCATCCTACCCTCTTCCAATTTCGCTTTTTTCTCTTTTCTGGAGATGATGCAGAGTTCTCTGATGGATTGGAAAGGACCTGATAGGTGAGTACTAATGTTTCTAGCTTTAATTTCACTTCTGAAAGCCCCAGAAGTTGTGTTACAGGTCCATGTTGGTGCCACATCACCCCTACCCTCCCTCACCTCCTCCCCATCCATCCAGCCCTTCCACTAACCCAAACAACTTTTGTGCCATCATTCCCAGACTCCCTCTATACTATCCAGCTGTCCTCATCCCTCTCCCTCCACTGGTTCACTCACAATAGCCTACTGCCCTGCCAGCCTCCCAAGCCCAACACTCAGCCCAGCTCTTCCTAGCCCTCTGGCTCGGGTTTTTTGTGTTTGGAAAGTATCTATGGACCTATATGAGTTTGGCCATGGTGAGATTTCGCTTATTTATCCATTCATTCCTTTCCTATGGCCACCTTCTCCTCCTACCCCTTCCCACCTCCTCCTACCCCTCTAAAGTAGCAGGAACCTTTGATCCTGCTCTCTTTTCTATCTGTATACTTCCCTAGCCTATCTATCTACATGAAAGATCCCTCTCTGTCCCTATTCCTGTACTGTAGAGTTTTCTAGAGCCTGTATTTTGTAATTAGAGTAAAAATGCGAAATATATTCGAGTTCTACCCTTTTCTGTAGTTTTCCTGGTGTGATCAGAGGTTGTATGAGTAAGGTATAGGTATATGAAGCTCAACAGCTCATATCTGAGATGGTCCAGCTGCAAAACAAGTGCAGGACCTGGGGGAAAGTAGGGCCACACCAGGGCCACAAAATACGAAAAAATCGAGATAAATTAGTACAGGCTATAGATTAGGGTCTAATAAAATTCTATTTAGTAGATTTATACTGTAGATACATGTACTATATACATAGTCAGGTCAGAACTGATAATATGCTGAGGGAGGAGGGAGGGTAGGGCTGAGCTACAAGGGCTAGTGCCATACTATAGGCCAAGGCCGAACAGGAAACCCAAGTCTAGGGCAAGAAAAGCCGAAAAGGCAAGCCCATTAATAATAAATGATGGGCAAGCGTCCAGATTAGGAGAAACCAAGATCATCAGACAGGTCCAACGGCTTCCCTGGCTGAGTAAGCAGAAGAAGCAAGGAAGCACTGCCAGGTAACAACGGAGGGACTCCGCTGGAAGTACAATGTGATGGACGGGACTTCTGGCTTCACATTGTAATGCCCCTGCACGTTCTGGTGATGAGGGCGGGTGAGGGTATGGTTGAGATAAGCACTTAAGCGCTCAGTGGAATTCGAGTCAAGACTGGGGAGGGGAAGAATCGAAGGATGTCTGTGAATCCGTGAGTCCCAGAGTATATAGATACTCTTCGTGCACTCGAATAAACACAGGGCCTGTATACACTCCACACCGACAGTACCATGACCACTGAAGTATTGATAACTAGGTCCAAGGGCCCACAAGAATAACCGACAAGCCGAGCGGCGCAAGCCTGCGCAAACCCATGACAAGAGAAGCGAGAGCACCAGAACGAGAGTGAACCCGAGCGTCATGAGCCTATGAGCAGCGGTCCATTGACATCTATTACTAACTGGACGTCTGTGTTGGTGAGAATAAGGCATGAACGTTTGAACGTTGACAGTTGGACTAGCGCACAGGCATACGCACAAAATCACCTCACTTCGAAATCCGTCCCGCATGCTTCAAAACAAAGCTATCCCCTTTTCGTACTTCCATTTACTACTCTCAACCTCTCGACACAACGCAACGACATGTGGCTCAAAGCAACCCCGCTTCCATCTTCCTTGCCCATATCTCCTTCAAACGACTACACACAGTGACAGAGAGCGCTACATCAACCAAAAAATGCGAAGATACGTCCAGGTCGTCGAGCGACGACACACAGCGAAAAAAAAGTAGGAAATAAGTGAGAGCACGGAATTGTTTCGAGAGAAAGAGATGCGTACACAAGACCCCTTGTACCCCCATCCCGATCGCCTTCAACACGTCCGAACCCGTCCGGATCCCACTGTCGAACAACACGACGAACTTGCCACGTTCCTGCGCCTGACGAACCTCCTTATTCGCCGCGATCTCTTCGAGGGTGAGGAAGGAGGGAATCGAGCCATCGACTTGTGTTCTGCCTTTCAGTTGAAAGCCGGAAGTCGCAAGTGGGGTATTGATGGTCGATAGGTGGTATTTGAAGGCCGGAGCGACACGTATTGCGACGTTCGAGGAAGGCAAAGATAAAAGAAAGCGTATGTTAGTAAATCTCTTATGCATACGACCCGGAACCTCGCAACATAATCTCATCCAAGGTGCAAAGAAAATCGAAACCGAGACAAACAAAAAAACTCATCAAACGCACCGTGATAACTAACCACAATCCCATTCATCCAAGGCGTCCTCCACGCTCTGTATCCCCTTCAACACGGTCGGGCCCTCCTCATTATGGCGCAGAAGCTTGGGCATCTTGGAATCCCCGAGTTCCCCTCCGCGAGCCAGGTCATGCCGAATTTCACGCATTCCGAGTCGATCGTGGCGGAGTAGCCTGTGTTGTTTACGATGGGTTAGTATACGGGCGATGAGTGGCAGGTTTTCTTTGTAAAGAAAATGCTGAGAAGTGGAGATGCGGGGATTGGGGGCGGTAAGTAGTCTGCAAAGATGAAGAACAGAGGATAAGCGAAGGGAAGAAACGTACCCTCCGTCCATTTCCTAATGAACGCATCCGGATCGAATAAGAACGTAATGGGCGTACCCTCTCCCGTCCTCGCCTCCAGCCCCATCTTCAGGAACACAGGGTCCGACGTCTCGACCTATAAGTATACACGCACACCATCCCACGAACGCCGTGCCGCCCTTCGCCACCATCGATGTAACCAAAAATAACTGTCAGCTCAGTCTTTTCAACTCAGATGGAGCGCAGGCCAAGATGCTGGTGGGCTGGTAACACGAACCTGGGTGACCCCATGCGCGAAGGGCAGATACGCCGCATCGAGATTGCGAAGTCTCCAGCCCCAGTAGCATAGTATCGAGCGCGACAATTTCGTCTTCTTGGCCGGAGAGAGCAGCGAGCGTGTTATTTCGTCGGAGTGGGGTGTGTAATTTATGGCTCATAGTTCACAGGTCTAAAAAAGATAGGAACAGACATTAGCGTAAGATTGCGTGGCGATGCAAGGCAGGACTGGACGATGTAATTTAGAATTTGAAGAGAGTAGAGGGTCGTGTTCAGTTACGAACGGATGAATGTATGACGTAGCAATTGGCGATTTTAGGAGGTATAACGCGACGTGGAGAAAGTAGGATGGTGAGTGTGGAGATACAGGACAGTGGAAATGTACAAAAATGTGGCGATAGTAGTGTAATGCGAAACCAGAAGTGTATGGGTGGCCAGAACTCGAAGAAGTACGGAAAGGATGAGGGACATAAACTGAACTGAACGCGAAACACACCTCGCCTCAGTGACCTCCTCCGGCGGTCTCGTGCTCGCGATGCTTATGATGAACGGCACACCGATCTTCGGGCGGCAGCAGCACCAAATAAATTAGTAGGATGTACATATATGATAGTACAGGCACAGAAAGAGCTTACCTGAGCCCGTGCTGTCGCGAGCTCGTCGTTTTGTGGAGTACGCCCTGAACACCTTCGAAGGTCTCACCGAAGAGGGTTGTCTGGTGGCCGTTCTACTGTGTCCGAGAGTTCGGTTATGGACCACACTGGATACGTGGAGAAGAGAGAGATGGAGAGGAGACGTTAGTTGAGAAACGACGAAAAGATACGAACAAAAGGTAAAGGGTGAGGGGAGGCTGGCAAAGGACCAAAAACCAATACCGTGAGGAAGAGACGAGGATGCACATGAAGGTTACGACTCGACACGCACGTCAGCATGCGCAGGGTAGTTCTCCCTGCTGAACGCCTTCAGACTCGTCCGCCGAAGGTGTATACATTCATGTACTGCTACCCATCGCCGTCCAATGCAAGTCAGCGCAAGGCTCAGTATAGTCGATGAGGAAGAAGAAACGAACCGCTGTGCCCCTTCACAGCCTCATTCGTCCTCTCTACTATGCCTATATCATAGCTTCCAATCCATGGCGGCTTACTTCCCGCATGCGTATCCCTCATATACGAGCTCTACTCCGTCTGCGGTTACGCGTTCTCGTTCCCATCACTCTCCGCGGCCGCCGATTGGGAGGGGACGTGCTCGTCGTAGTGTGGGTACGGATCGCAGGTCTCGAGGGTGGAGCGTATGGCGTCCAACGTTGATCTTTAGAAGGATGTTGAGATGATGAGTGTTGGTGCGTGCTTGCATGGATAGGCTCTCTGGAGGGTCGACGCTGAGGGAGAAGATGTAGAGTAGGCAGAACGACTGCGCGTTCGACGAGCCCATCGTGGTTGTATTGGAGAAGGATCTACACGTACGGAAGTTCGACTTTTGTGAACGCGTCGTCGGTGGACGATGACGCGAGGATCGAGCGTTTGTCGCTTCGCACTGGCTTCACGCAACCCACTTAGACAACCATTTTCGACCGACCTCATCTTATACGATCCAGTTCTCAAGACCGCACACTACTAGTTCCTGCTCAGATTTAGTTCCTAGAGAGCGCATTCGAGTCTCTGAATCACTACAATACTCCCCGATTCTGGATAACCACACCCACACTTACCGCTTGCGAGAATCTTCCGCCATGTCTCTCGATCCTTCATCAATCAGACCTGTATGTATCTTGCCCAGTATTGATCACAATTACCTCCGCAATTCCTGAACCACGAGGCTCCGTCCCGCTGCGTATCATACTTGCAGCGACACAGCATCCGACCCGTTGATTTGAGCAAAGGACATTAGGAGTATGGTTTGGTCAATGTAACGCTTTGTTTGTTGGTGGTTCGGTGATGTCGAGGTGGAATATGGACGCAAGGAGCGGTTTCTACGACCGATGCTGAAGAGTGGTAAAATGAGACGAAGGGAGAGGGTGCAGAAATGTAGTCGATGCCGGTGCGTTTATTCCTTCTTGATATTACTTCGGACAATAATTTTCTCATCCATGGATAATTCGTTCTGTCTCTTTCTTCACCGCGTCGCCGTCACATTGAACCTTCTCTCACTAGTCTGCGTGCTAGGGTGCATCATCGCGCTCTGAACTCGGTCATCTGCTTTCTACAAACTTCACGGACGACTTCTTTTCCAAATAAGCTCTCAGCATCTTGGCGATTCATCTTGGATGCATTTGTTCTCCTCACCGTAGGCAGTCGAGTGTGGTGTATCCTGGTCATTCACGCAAATACGTCTAGTCCAGATACACACACCTCGCCTCTGACTCACTGAATCTCTCTGCACCGTTCTGGGTGTCTACGCAACCGATTCATGACAGAATTTTGCCTCGTTGTCGTCGCAATTTATAGCGCGCCACTCTCACATATGGGCATGTTAAATGTGCAAGTCCAGTTATGCCTTTGTCTTTTTGATCCCTTTGCTTCCCCCCCCCCCCCCCCTTCCTCTCTGAGACCCGTTCAGTCTTCGTGTTTATTGCGTTCTTCGACTTTCTGATCACCTGCTTTTCTTCTTCCCAGCGCGTCCCGACTCCATCCGTGCGCGCCACTCACCATCACCGTCTCGCACTCTCTACGATAATCCGATCGCACCTCGTCCAAGCGTGACCTCGATCCGGATCCGTAGAGACCAAGGACGGATTACCCCTGTCACCGAATGCCAAAGTAGAATGGAAACACCAGTAGATGCTGGCGAGGACGAGACAAAGATAAGCATGGTAGAGAAGGATTAGATTTTCTGTGCGCTCGGCGGGTGCGTTCTCATTCTCCCTCCACTTTTTGTGCCACAATAAGCTCGCGTCGCAGTCAACTTCGTAGCGAGTACGATGAACGTACCTACGATCGGCTATGCTTCGACCTGCTTAGGTAGTCCCGTTCTTTGGCCTGGACGTCTCTAACCACCATGGCTGTCCCACGCCGCTCCATCCGTCATTGGTACCATCCTCTCATCGACCTCACGCCACCTACCCACCGAAATGCTCGCCAAATCGTTATTCAATGTACCACCAATCGCGTCCCTGTGGTATTCCCAGTCATGCATCGATGAACTGCCGCTCAATATTGCCGCTGCAGTAACGATTACGAGACCTACAAGCCGGCGGAGTGGAAGGTATGACCTTATTTCGTACCGAGATCGAAGATCTGGGCCTACTGGAAGCTAAGCGTTTTTTTGGAAACACTGGGAGTATGGAGTTGAAAATCGGTGGCGAGCGCAGGCACATCGTCGAAGTCGTAAACGGTGTCGAGGGGGTCATCTGGTCTTCGTTATCGATCTATGGGGCTCATCGTCATATCCCTCAGGCCTGCTCGAGTCCCACCACAACTTGACCCTCCGACTGCTTGTCGTCTGTCATAGGCGGCAGGTAGTAGTGGCTTGGGGCGTGCAGAGGAGCTCGAGACGAAACAGTCGAACGAAGTGCGCGTATAGTGACACTTTAATTCAGAGCCACGGCCTGCAAGGCTTGTAACCCCAATCTTCTAATGGCATACTTCGCTGGCTCACTCTCTATTGTCTTCAGAAGTATTGTCCCCGCTCGTTTTTCTCGCCGCTACAGAACCTCACAGCGAGCGATGGCTCAATCTGAAGTGTCCCATATCGGAGGTTTCTAGGCCTATATCCTATTTCGGTCTTCTGATATGCCGGATCACCACGAGTGGCAGCTCTATAACGTACGCATCGACCTGTATTAGACGCTGCCGCAGGCCTGGTCAAGGGACCCAGACGACCCAGATAATTGCCGAAAAACATCGAATATGGTGCTACTGAGTTACGCTGGTTCTAAGGCCTAGAAACCCACTTGAAGGAGCTGGTGGCGGGTTTTGGTTTGACGATGGGTGGGGCGACGGGTCGTGTCGAAGCTTGAGGTTGGAGCGGTGCGGAAGCCACTTGTGTTTGACAGTCGTGAGGTCGTAGTGGGCTGATGCTGGCGTGGCAGTCAAACCTGTAGGGGGACGGGCGTGTGCGCGTTATCATTCCTTATCGTGTCCCGCTATTCCGTCATGTGGTGCAGGTTGACTGTTTTCGTTCTGATTACTGATGGGGGCGGTTCACTTTCCACAATTAGCTCACCCAGTCGTTCGCCACCCAATCCGTGAAAAAGTCCCAATAATTGTTATAATACCTTTTACACTCTCATCGCATGTGTCTTATACACCGCTTCACAGCCAGAAGTATCCTTTGTCAAATTGTGTTTTATGTTGCTGCCTTTGTCTCTATTAAAGGTACTTGCTTGGCATCATCCTTCTAAGTTTAGACAGGCAAGCGCTGTCTCCCAGGCTGTACCATATAAACCGCACGACGTTGAGCACCTCGAGGACCTTGCCCTTCATCCACATTCTCTGACACTACCGCAGCTAGTCCCACCCTGCTATCCCTTTCCTTACCCACAAGTCATTGCAAGCCATGGATAAACCAGAAGAGAGAGGTCTGAGGCTTCTCTCACTGGGTACGTTCTCGCGTAGTTCTCCGTTCTGCACCGCAGCACTGATTCCTTCGTAAAAACAGATGGAGGGGGTATACGCGGCTTGTCTGCGCTACTCATCCTACAGAGTATCATGCTCTCCATTCAAGACAAAATGAAACTCCCCGACGTGCCTCTCCCTTGTGAATTCTTCGATCTCATTGGTGGTGCGAGTACCGGAGGGTGCGTCTCTCTTACCCTATGACGGTCACTCTCCAGATGCTTAGAAAGTTCATCTTCGTGCTTCATGTGCAGCCTCAATGCTCTGATGCTTGGACGCCTTCGCATGCCCATACAAGACGCTATAAAGGCGTATGCAAAGTTGTCGAAGGACATATTCTCGCACAAGAAATTATTTGGGGATGGCAAGTACAGTGCGACAAGATTGGAGGCCGCGGTGAAGGAGATCGTTGAAGAACGCGCCGGGGATACTAGCTATGGGATCCTGGACTCGCGTACCGGGGATGAAATTTGTCGCACGTACGCTCTAAGCTTGAATCTCATGTCCGTATGTTGTTCACGATATTGTCTGTAGGTTCGTCTGCGCGGTCCCAGTCAAAAATATGAGCGGACGCATACCCTCCCTCATCCGTTCATACCAAGCCCCCGGCAAACTCGCCATCGACTGCACGATCGTCGAGGCCGCTCGTGCCACCACCGCAGCTCCAACCTTCTTCAAACGCGCCATCATCAAGATCCAGGATGTCAACAGGGAGTACATCGACGGTGGTCTAGCACAGAATAACCCCTGCGATGTCGTCCTCAAAGAAGCAAAACTGATCTTTCCCGGTCGGAGCATTGCATGCATCATCAGTATCGGCACGGGCAAACTTCCGGTTATCCAGCTCGAGAGACCTGATTTTATCAGAAACATGATCCCGGTCCAAGTTGCAAAAGCACTAGCCGGAATCGCGACAGATACCGAGAATGCACACCAGACAATACAGTTCCGCTTCCAGTCACGTCCGGATGTATACTTCCGATTCAATGTGGACGAAGGGATGCAGGATGTTACGCTGGATGAGTGGAACAAGTTGGATGATGTGATGTCGCACGCGGAGAAATACATGGAAAGTGAGGATGTGAGGCAGAAGCTAGAAGGATCGGTGAAGGTCTTGGTGGAGCAGAAAATGGCCTTGAGTGTTTCGGAAGCGAGTGAGGTGTCCGATAATTTGTGTTAATGCAAATCAGAATACTAACCACCAATCATGCTATTAGTCGGAACTGTTTCTGCCGCAGAGAAACAGTGCAAAGCGGTTGAGCGGAAACGTTGCCCAGCACCGTCGCATGCATTCACCGGGAGAGCAGATATCCTAGCGATCATGGACAAACATTTCTCCTCCGACTCGATGAACGAACAGCTTATGTTTATACTGCATGGCCTGGGTGGCAGCGGGAAGAGCGAGATCATGAGACGGTTCGTAGCGGACTCACAAGTGCAGACGGAGGAGCATCCTCCCAGGTATTCCCGTTTGGTCTCTTCATGCTTTTGCAAAAATTCTAAGTTCCCCCTTTTCAAATCATCCTTCAGATTCTCAGAAGTCCTATATGTAGACGCCAGCTCCGCAGCGACCCTTGAAGTCGATCTTGCAAACATATCCATGGACAAAAAAATTGGAGAAAATGCGAAGGACACCATCAGCTGGCTTGTTCGTACTCGGGATCGTTGGCTTCTCATCCTGGACAATGCCGACGACACAGATCTAAATCTACAGCCATTCCTTCCTTCATGCTCGCACGGAAATATAATCATCACTACCCGCAATAGACAGCTTGATGTCTATGAGAAGTCCCTAGAGGTCTCGCGAATGCCGAAGGACGATGCGAAAGCTTTGTTTATGCGGCGTTCACGCATTTCGGATCAGGAAGCCACGACAGATAGCCTCATCACGCAGATTGTGGAGGTAAATACATTGCCATGTCTGATGCATCCCATGGCGTGTCTTACAATGAAAACAGGAGCTTGATTTCCTCGCTCTCGGGATTATTCAGGCCGCTGCTTATCTTCAGGTCAACAAGACATGTACGCTCGAGCAATACTTGGCCATGCTCATCTCCAATCGCCGTGAAATATTGGAGGACTACCAGGAATTCATCCACAAGCCCGAAGATTACGAAAAGACCGTATACACCACTTGGAATATCAGCCTCGAACAGCTCGAACGTACCCACCCGAAAGCAGTCACTTTCCTCTTCATCTGCTCTTTCCTTCACCATAAGAACATCCCGCGGGACATATTCATTGATGCAGCGTCCAGCGCTCCAGACCTTGAATCTGAAGATGAAACTCTCTCCGACTCTGTAATATTCTGGGTTCAAGCTTTCTTATGCCTATTCATTGATCCGACTGCGGCAACCTCCAAGACTTTTCATCAAATCGTTGCTGGCCTTAGCTCGTATTCGCTCGTGGAGATTACACCTGAAGGCAACTTGTCATTCCATCGTCTCGTTCATGATTGGAGTCGACAACGTGCTCGAACCACTGAGACATATCCCATCTATGCGGCGCTCATCCTCCGCTTGTCCTTTGAACGGTTTTGGGACGACATGAAAACGCCGGATGCTCTTGCTTATACACGAACACTTCTTCCGCACATGCAAGAGTTACAGGCTAGTTCTGACAGCAGTCTTGATCCCAGCATTGCTCATCGGTTTCAGTATATATATATGTGTCATGGATGGTGGGGGCATGCGGAAACAGTAGGGATGTGGGCGATAAAGGGATATGACAAGGTCCTTGGGAAGGAGAATCCCGAAACACTGGCAAGCATGGGGAACCTCGCGTTGACATACTGGAACCAGGGCCGGTGGACAGAGGCGGAGAAGCTGGAGGTGACGGTGATGGAGACGAGGAAGCGGGTGCTCGGCGAGGAGCATCCCTCCACACTGACGAGCATGGGGAACCTCGCGTCGACATACAGGAAGCAGGGCCGGTGGGCAGAGGCGGAGAAGCTGAACGTGACGGTGATGGAGACGAGGAAGCGGGTGCTCGGCGAGGAGCATCCCTCCACGCTGACGAGCATGGGGAACCTCGCGGAGACATACAGCAACCAGGGCCGGGGTACAGAGGCGGAGAAGCTGCAGGTGACGGTGATGAAGACGATGAAGCGGGTGATCGGCGAGGAGCATCCCGACATGCTGACGAGCATGGCGAACCTCGCGTCGACATACATGAGCCAGGGCCGGTGGACAGAGGCGGAGAAGCTGCAGGTGACGCTGATAGAGATGATGAAGCGGGGTGCTCGGGCGACGAGCATCCCGACACGCTGACGAGCATGGGGAACCTCGCGTCGACATACAGGAAGCAGGGCCGGTGGGCAGAGGCGGAGAAGCTGAACGTGACGGTGATGGAGACGAGGAAGCGGTGCTCGGCGAGGAGCATCCCTCCACG